ACAAATTCACTCCCTAAGCCCATTTCATCCGGTAAGTGGCGAGTGTACTTGCTGCTGGATGTGAAGGAAACAAATGTCTAGTTAGGGGTAGGGCTGTCTACCTTTTTAAACGCTTCACCATTTAAAAATGCAACATTACACACATAACTTGACTCAAATCATCACCATTCAGAAAGAAAAATAAACTTATACTAAATTTCCATAAATCTAACACATTACCAAAACAACCAGAGGAGTAAAAGAGAAAAATACTATAACAATGTCTAAGCATAAATGAACTAACAAGTTCCTCCTAAAATAGTTTAATTCTATAGAAATGGTAAGATACTTCTACGATTTCAAAAATTATTCAAAAGCATATTTAATTTATTATAACTATGCCATGCAACCACCAGGCTCTGCTTTGGTCTCCATGTGCACTCATGTGTACATTAAGGTGAATATTTTATTATACATATTTTTTAGCTCAACATTGTCTCAAGATCGTTAACACAAAGAACAAAAAACACTATAGAATTCTTTATTTTTACGAAATAATGATGCTGAAATCGATTATAAGCTCTTTACAAACCCTAAAAATTGCCCGGAGATCGAAGGATAGGCTATTCATTAATTCGCTTTGTTCACCTTATCACGCTTATGCCCGGTAGTATCTGTCATCATCAAATCTGGAACATGGCCCTGTTGTATACACTCTAGATTAAAATCTTTAGCTTAAGGTGTATTAGAATTTGTTTTATTTTTCATCCTTTAATGAGGGTTAATTGGAAGTTTTACCAGCAGAGGTCGGGGAGGCTTTTTTCCCGTTCTTTTGTTTGTTTGTTTGTTTGTTTATTTTTTTTTAATCAATTAAATATCATAATCAAATTTCACTCATTGGAGTCAAAAATAAATTTGGCACTCCAAATTCATTTCGATCTGCAATCCAACTCACTAAAATATTTCTGCGAACTTCATTGGCATTAAAGCCCTTATGCAGTCGACTTACGTTACCATTTTCAATTGAGAACTATGGTTTCTGAGACTGAGGCCTAACTAAAATAGGCCTATCCCTTTCTGTACAATTCTAGGAGAACTGTAGACAGTATTATGGTATGGTACTTTAACGACGGATTAAAAAAAAAACTAATCAAATGACACCCGTCGAAACGTGTTGCAATATAAATCAACTTACCAGTAATATAACGTTTCGTATGTTGAGAATGGAACCTATGCTCCTACATCTACTTCCGTCTATGATCGTCTGCAGTGAGGAATGCCTCTATAAAGGTGTCAATACAAAAGTAAATAAAACAACAGGACCAGTTACTAACAAGAAAGAATCGTGAGTTTCTAGTCAGCGTCATAGACATGTATCGTAACCTCACTTTAAGATCAACTTATTGATCGCTATTGTAACTCTGTCAAACTGTCTGTGAGCTTAACTAAAACACGCATGCGCAGAAAAGTAGTTGCTAAGGACAACGATAATCGTAAAGCTGTTTCCACACTACGTCCTGTGCATTTATGAGACCCGAGAGAGGTGTTGTAAAGCGAAAGACGAAACCGGGTCTCGGAATTATTCCAAAGTCTACTTTTAATAGAAAGTAATAAAAAGCGTTAAACTATATCGCTGGTTCTTTTTCTTTATGAGTATAATATTATTCGATGCTCGATCACGCTTTCGGTTACCACTAAATTTAATCAAATTTTTGGTCAGTTGAATCACCATTTTCTTAATTAGATGAGTATACATCGTAACACAGCACACTTGATTCCTCACTCGACAGTAAGCCCACACAAAACAACCATTACTCTAAATGTAGGGGAAGAGGCTCCAAATGTCATTTTTGTTGTTCCATGTTGTCCTACGGTTTCGTTCCTGAATTAAATATAACGTCTTGATTTAAACTGGTTTCTTTTTCTGAAAAAAATAATAAAATCAGCGAAAATGTCATCATATCATCATCGTCATTATCATCCTCAGCAGCAGTAGCAGCAGCATCATTGTTATTATGTATATATATATATATATATATATAT